ATTTGCCTATTAAATTCTAGGGAGTCCAACTGGATTTTATGAATACACCAATGCATTTACAGTATTTATGCCATGACACTTTGGGAAGGGGGGGCAGTATTTACCTGCAGAGTGCAGGCCACTGAAGTTCTTCAACTGTCTTAGGCTGATGACACAGCCCTGAAAGACCAGCTGTAGTTTTGCTACCATCTAAACTCAGAATGGGATAGCTTGCCAAAGCCAACTCACCATAGCCAATTCGCTGTAGCCAATTCACCACAGGACGACTTGGTGTGGGTCAGTGTGACAAATGCAAAGTTAAATTAATTTTGACGGGCCCATGGCCAATAATAATAAAAGAAAGAAAGTCAGTTCACAAATACAAGAGTAACAATGATTTTGATGGAAACGTGGCCAGCAATAATAAAACTAACGGAATGAGTCGATTAATACAGCATTGAATTGTCCTGTGGCGAGTTGAACACAGCAAGTTGGCCTAGACCCATCTAGGTTCTAATGCAACCATTTTGCATAAGGCTGCTTTGGATGGTACTAAATCTAAAGTATCCACTGTGTAAAAACATATGTATAAATCAAATTAACCATCTGAAAGGAGAACTTAAGGTCCTTGGAACACTTCACAACCCACTTTCATTAGATTCCTATGCCTTTGTTAAACAGAGATAGTGAGATATCTCTGTTTAAGAAGCTGTCTCTGGGCCTGGCCAATGTTAATAACTATGGATGATATCCAATACACTATTAACCCAGCCTTTGGAAAATGCAGTAGCATTGTACTTTAGGAGATCTTAGAGGAAACAAATTATTTAAAACCTTCCTGGTTTAGATTAAGAGCAGAATCTGCCATGGAGGCAACCTTGATTATATTGACGATGACCTGAGGTCAAATAATTAATGAGAGATATACAAATATATTTATATTTCTGGATTTCTCAGTTACTTTTAACACTATGGCCATGATGTTCTATATATATTTTTGAGAGAGCTGGGAATTAAAAGTTCTATATTATGATTCCACTCTTTTCCCTGTAGGCATTTTTTAAAGACGGCACTGGAATAATTCTGTTTGACTGACCTTATTGTCCTGAAGTCATGCATAATCCTATTTGTATTATTTAGTATTTGTTTGAAGTTGCCTGGAAGATCATTTCAGGGTTTAGAGTTAGTTGGCACCAATATGCTAATATTCAGCTGTGTTTCTCTTTTTTTCTGTTAGCTAATGCATTGTACATTTCACAATACTCCATGTGTATTTAGGGTCGATGTTTGGAGAACAAGTTTTTTTTCCCCCTCAACTTTTAGTATTTATTTAGTATTTATTTATTTGTCAAGCATATATAAGATAAAAGTATAAACTTGATTATGAATGCATGAAATGGATATGAATAAAAAGGGATATTAGGACAGGGTTGGTAGGCACGTTGGTGCGCTAATGCATGCCCCTTACAGACCACTTAGGAATGGGGTGAAGTTAACAGTAGACAACTGAGGAAGAGACCACAGAGTCAGGTAGTGCATTCCAGGCATTGACCACTCTGTGGCTGAAGTCATATTTTCTGCAGTCAAGTTTGGAACGATTTACTTTAAGTTTGTATCTATTGTATGCTAGTGTATTGTTGTGGTTGAAGCTGAAATGGTCATTGACAGGTAGGACATTGTAGCAGATAATTTTATGTACTACACTTAAGTCAGACCGAAGACGGTGTAGTTCTAAATTGTCTAAGCCCAAAATTTCAAGTCTGGTGGCATAAGGTATTCTATTGCGAGCAGAGGAGTGGAGGAGTGTGAAATATCTCTGGACTCTCTCAATTGTATTAATGTCTGATTTGCAGTGCAGGTTCCAGACAGATGAGCTGTATTCGAGAATTGGTCTAGCAAATGTTTTGTATGCTCTAGTTAGTTAGTAGTACAATATTACCAGAAAAGAAGCTATGCAAGATTAGGTTAACAACTCTTAATGCCATTTTGGCCATGTTGTTACAGTGGGCTCTGGCACTTAGATCTTTAGAGATGAGTACTCCAAGGTCCTTGACAGAGTGAGGGTCGTCTACAAAGTCATGTCCATCTAGTTTGTATTTTATGTTCTGATTTTTGTTGTTGTTGAAGATGAAGTTATACAAGCAGGAATTGGGACTTGTTTCAAGAGTAGAGAAGCTGATATCAGGATTTGGAATGATAGATTTGCTTGGATTAAATTACACTTTTCCTTAATGATCAGATTACATTTAGGAATCCTTCTGGACCCAGTTTTGATGCTGGACATCCACATAAGATCTCTGGAAAAGAGGGCTTTTATCAACTCTGGACAGCAACCTAGTGTCTTTCTGCAGAGTATTGCTACTTGGAATAACATATATTAGGAGGAACTGTGGAATCCATGATTACAGAGACTCAACCATCTATTTCTCTTTATGAACACCTCACCAATGTATGAGAATGGTATTCTTGAAATTTCTTTCAAGAAGCCCCAAGCAATCTTTGCTACTCTGCCTTCAAAATTGATACCAGAGATATACAGTAGGAGATAGTGGCAGACCTGCTCTACAATGAAGCTAGCAATCCAGAAATGCAACTAAATGGTCTGAGCAATAATAACTATATGTTCACCGTTCACCATTAGCAATTCAACAATTCTGCTGGTCAACAAATTATCTGGCATTTTACTGACAGTTGAGATGGCAAAACAATTAGCATTGCCAGCAGTCTTTCAATTATTCCATTCATCCCAAACCCGGAGGAGGATGTTACAGTGTTTGCTTTTGCTCATTATCTTACCCAAATGTTTAAGCAGTCAAGGAAGGTGCCTGTTGAAGTGTGGCTTGACATTTACCTGTATTTTGTTTCCCCATGGTGCACCTTTAGTTCACATTTCCTTTTTCCCGTTCCATACCCAACATGAGAATTTTACACTGTTTGTTTGGCATTGTCCCATCATATATCATGTAACATATTCTAGGGTCCTCTTTAGTCACCTCCTTGGCAGAATTTTTAAAATGATATTAAAATTGGGATGGGGGGAGAGGAAGAGGGAGAGAAATTCTTCAGCTATCTTCTCTCCCAGTTGGAAATTCTAACTGGAACTCCTTAATTGTGCATTGATACTTAGAATGCACAAGTGCACAGCCATGTCTACTTGTAACAGTGACCAGAAATGGTTATTTATGTATGAAACTGAAACTTCAATGCCTATCTGACTGATAATGTTCCCCCCCCACACACACACACTATTTTTTCCTTGTTTGTGGGAACTTATTTTCACTGGATACTGCAAAGGCCATATATGAGGCAGGGAGCGGGAGTCACTTTCAAACATGAGGAATCACTCCTCCTGGGTAGTAAAATATAGACATTCCACTGAACTGCAATGAGATGTATTATTACTATTGTACCCTTGGGTTGTCTTAAAATTATTTTTATTCAGTCAGTCCTGGAATTGGACTTTTCTGGAATTGATGCAGTTAGTATGTATTGGAGAAGTGATTTGGAAGTCCTTATTACTTGGCAACGAGTTCCCTCAATGGAAAAACAGCACATTGCAAATGAAATCCCATCGCTCAGTTCGGATTTTAAATGACTGTTATCTTCAAATGCTGTTTCTCTTTCCCCACCCACCTCCCTCCCACTAAGTCCCCTTCCTTCTCCTTAAATTACATGCAGTCACAGCAAAAAAAAATGATGACTTTGAAATAAGGGAAGTAACAATGTGTGTCTGAATTCAGGTGTGATGATTTAAAGTTCTGTTGGTTCTATTATTTCATTTCCAAAGACTATGCAGTTTTTCACAAGTATTATAGTTTGCTTAAGACTTACGGCAGTTCTTTCACCTGTAAAGGGCAATTTCTGGGGGAAGGGGGGAAGCAGTGTTATTATCATAATTGTTCTTTTAAAAGGGGGCTTTAGATCAGTGGTGGGTTTCAAATTTTTTTACTACCGGTTCTGTGGATGTGGCTTGGTGGGTGTGGCATGGCTTGGTGGGCGTGGCAGGGGAAGGATACTGTAAAATCCCCATTCCCTCCCCACTCCAGGGGAAGGTTACTGCAAAATCCCCATTTCTTCCTGATCAGCTGGGACTCGGGAGGCAGAGAATAGATGGGGGTGGGGCCAGTCAGAGGTGGTATCTACCGGTTCTCCGAACTACTCAAAATTTCCGCTACCGGTTCTCCAGAACTGGTCAGATCCTGCTGAAACCCACCTCTACTTTAGATATTAGGATATAGTATTCATCTTTTCCATAGCAGAATCTTCCATATGAAATTCTCCCATAGTCCTCACACAGCTTTAAATAGTTCTTATATATATATTTATTGTTATCTCTGCTTCTGGCTGTGACAGTAGAACACAAGGGATTGAGAGAAAACTGCTTTGCAAGATGAAGGCAGTCATCTATTTTATGGATTTAATGGGTATTTTATTGCAGTTATTGCAAGCCGTTTGAGCCACAAGTAGTAGCATACAAATAATTGTAAACAAGTAATTTTCTAGCTCAGGATGGCATTATCTGCATTTTGTTCTTTAACCTATTTTAACTCCATGCAGTAGAGCCCCCTCTGTTCAGGGTTCTGTGACAAAAAGATGGAGAAATCACCCTAAAAACATTGTTTCCAACAATTAAGAGGATAATTTTCTTCTGTTTAATTGAATCATATTCTGAGAGACTGCCTGGACAAGTCCCTGCAGTTTTCTTGGCAAGGTTCTTCAGAAGTGTCTTTCTATGGCCTCTTTTCTGGGCCTGAGAGAGACAGAGTGACTGGCCCAAGTTCATGTAGTTGGCTTTGTGCCTAAGGTGGGCCTAGAACTCATGGTTTCCCAGTTTCTAGTCTGATGCCTTAACCTCCATACCAAACTGGCTCTCCTCATAAGGGTTATTATATGCATTGAATATAAGAATAGAAAAGATCACATCATATCACATTTATAAAGCTATTATGGGTAATAAAGAGATAATGTTTTATTTTATAACCCATACAATTTCAGGGTTTTTTTCTTTATTTCTTTTGTAGATGATGGACCTTATTCGAAAGGAAGCAAAGACTCAGGTGGATTGGATACTGCGTTGGTCTCAAGAAGACAAAGTATACCAGGTAGCTGCATTTATTGTCTTATTTGTGGGCATTTATTCAATTTGCTTTGCTAACATATAGATGGCTAATGTTTTTTTGTTTTATTTCATAGCTTATTACAACAAGGGAAGACAGATTTCACCCTAGTAGGAGTTCTCTCTCTCTCTCTCTCTCTCTCTCTCCTTCCTCCCTCCCTCCCTCCCTCCCTCCCTCTCCCTCAATCTTTACTATAACATTGAGATCCATCACCTAGAACAGAAGGCAAATTGGATATTCTCAGAATTTTAAATTCATCATTTGAAAATTGTTTGAGTTGTAGAATTTGAGAGGATTTTCTGTTCTTTCATGTAAAGATCTACTTCTAGCTTCCTCTTGCTCCCCCATCCACCCACTCTCTCCTCTCCATCCTTCCAAAACAGGACAACTGAAGACATTTTGTGGTCAGGAATACTTGTACAATATATCACACAGAGATCTGTCTTCTCTACTGTGTGATGACTCTCCTCTTAAATCATTGTCAAATTCTGATCTACATTGTTAAACCTGAATTTGCAGAAAGAATCAGAGCCTGATGAAGAGGCAGTTTGACAGAAGTAATTAAGAGCATTCCCTTCATTAATGTTTTTTTCCCCACACTATGAATTAAACATTATGTAAGACAGTGCTTTAAGTAACGTATCGGTACTTTTAAATCATTAATGTTCAAGTGAAAAAAAAATAATATGCTAAAGAAATCAGGAATTATAGGCACCATTCTAAACCATGGAACTTTGGGTTTTTTTCTATGAAATGTCCCATTTCCCCTTACATACCTGGGTGGTGAAAGCAGTTGAAAAAATCTAGTAATGGTGCAGTCTTGGTACACAGTCATATTTGCTTGAGCCTCACATGGCTGAAAAAAAGTATCAGAATTCTTTCTATTTCTTAGGAATTAAAAATTCATTATTTCTGTTCAAGGCAAGCTGGAGGGCCCTTTCCATTTTAATCTCTCAGTCCCTGTGCTGGTATTACATACATCTGATAGTAGCACTAGAATTCTCAATGGAGTGCAGCAGAACACAGAATATGTGTGGTTGGGGTTTCTGTGAGGAACTAAGCAGATGAAAACGAAAGTTTCAGTGCATAATTATCTATATAATGGTAGTTACTCAGGACCAGAAACAAAGAGTTATCTATCTATAATTAACCTGTGCCATTTAAATAAATAAATGCACTAAAGTCAATGAGTTGTGAGTAGTAGTTTGCATAAAGTTTGTAGAAATGTACGGATTCAGGGCACCAATCACCATGTGTTCCAAAAAGTGTTCCAATTTTTGATAACGCATTGTGTATCATAAGGTTGAGAAGTAGCCTTAAAAAAAAAAATAGAATAGCCCAGTTAGACTAGTTCAAGTCTAGTTTTGTTCTGATTTAGCATGATGTTCCCACAGTGACCATTTGAAGCCACAAGCAGAATAAGATTACAGTAACATTTTCTGACTTTTTACAGCAACAGATATACTGACTGATTCTGTTGCTGCAGGGGATAAACATCAAACCGCCATAAGATAAATAACCTGATTACCTTATCCTTACTAATTTATCTAACTTCCTTTGAAAGCTATCACAAATCAGCAGATTAATTCTGGTAGATCTGTTGCATGTGAAACATTGCCTTTTATTTGTCCATAGATACCTCGACTTATGACTGTCATGACTTACAACAGAAATTCCAGGCTGGATTACTGTCGTAAATCAAGGACTACCTGTTTCTGTTCTTTCCTGCCTTTATACCCTTCAATTGGAGTTTGGAGCATGATATCTCTATGGTCAAGTTCTTTGTCAGATGAAATTTCTCTATCCCCTTTTTAAAGACATCCACCTTAATGTTTTTCACCATGTCATGGGATAATTACTTCTACAGTGTAATTATGAAGTACATAAAGAGATGGTATGGTTTGCGTTTTATCTGTTCTGAATCTCCTTTGAGATGGGATGACCTAATGTTTGAAAGAGGGAGAATGTTTGTCTCTCTTTCTTCATGACTTGCATGATTTTATACATATTGGTCATTTCCTAGCATAGTTGTCTTTAAACACTCACAAAAGTTTCATCTTTTCCTTTCAGCAGAGAAGGCATTTAAGCCTCTGCTTATTTTGATTTCCCTCGGCTTCATTTTTCCCAGAACGATTATATAATTTTCAAATACGGAAGCCAACATTGTAGACAGTACCTTATATAGATGAACCATATCCTTATATAATCATATATATTTATGATTGCATCTTTATGGGATATTTATATTTGCTATATATTTGTCTTAAGTCCAGCTATCTCAAATAGGCAAGCCATATTGGTTGTATAGTAAGTTGCAGGTCCTAGGCTATATCAACAAAGGAATAGTATCAAGATCATGTGAAGCGTTGGTACCAATTTATACTGCACTGATAGGACCACACTTGGAATACAGTTTTGGTCATCAGGTTACAAAAAAGGTGTTGAGACTCTAGAAGAAGTGCAAAGAAGAGCAGGAAAGATGATTAGGAGACTGGAAGCTAAAGCATACCATTAACAGTTGTGGGAACTGGGTATGTCTAGTCTAATGAAAAAAAGGAAAAGGGATGACATGATTGAAGTCTTCCAATATTTGAGGGGCTGTCACAGAAAAAAAGGGATTGACCTATTTTCCAAAGCACTTGAGGGCATAACAAGAAGTAACAGACGGAAGATTATCAAAGAGAGATCCAACCTAGAATTAAGAGAAATTTCCTTTCAGTGAAAACAATTAATCTGTGGAATGAGTTGCCTCCAGAATTTGGAGGTTTTTAAGAAGAGATTGGACAGCCATTTGTCTAGAATGGTATAGAGTCTCCTGCTTGAGTAAGGGGTTGGGCTAGAAGTCCTCCAAGGTCCCTTCCAAATCTGTTATTCTGTATTCTCATTTAGGGGATCTAGAATTGTATTTCTCAATCTCAACAACTTTAAGATGTGTGGAGTTCAACTCCTAGAAAACTGTCTAGAAAAAGAAGTGCGGGGGGAGGGAAGGGAGTGGGACAAAGACAAACACATCCTGCCATATCTATCCAGAAAGAATTTTGCCAAACTCTGGAGATGCCATATTGGGTGTCATTGTACTTTAGCCATTTCCAAGGGGTGGGGGGGGAGTTGCTGCATAGCCTAAATTTCTAAACTTGGTTAGAACAATGCATCTTAAATCAGGTGTTGATGATCCTCCTCTATCTAATTTGTGTGTTTTCTGGTTTAGATTGTGCTGCTGATGTTAAGCTTTTTTACAATGGAAATGTAATTGGCATTGATTTGATACCATTCTATACCCTTTAGTTGCTATGGCCCCAGCTAAGGGGATGCTTTTATGGAAATGCAAGATGCAGATGGAAATGGAGCAGGAATTCAAGTCACTGAATAATGGAAGGGTAAAGGATGTAACATTCCTCACTTAAAAGATAATCTGACTTTAACATTAAGAGTCAAGGTGACAAGTACTGTATAATAGATAAGGCAGAATATTTATCCCTTTCCAGGGTTTTCATATATATTTGAGAGTGTTTTCCACAGCACTGTTATTACAAGTTTTGGTGTGGAACAGTGTTTTTTTCAAATTTATCCAGGCTACTGGCACTCAACAGGATTATGTTGGAGTGCTATAAAAGTATAACAGTATTTCGTCAACCATGGTTGCACAGGTGGCTCAAATGCCTGTGAAATGGTAATATCAATAGAATGATGATGTAAACTCAGATCTTTAAAACCAGTGGAAGTAATTGGCAGATATGAGGAAGAGAAAATGAACATAGAGTCCCATATGGCATACTGTATCAGATGAAGCAGTATTACAACAGTTGGTGCCAAAGCAATGATCAATAAATAAAAGCAAAAGGGAAGAGATAGAAGAAACTGCTGCTGAAAAAAGGGGGGCAGCTGCCTTCCTTTTTTCCCCTTTTTTTGTTTCAGTTCTTCAGTGGCTGATCAAATAAAAGCTGTTTAAACCTATTCTATTCTGGCTGGAAAATTCTGGAAGTTGAAGTCCAAATGTTTTAAAGTTGCCAAGTTTGAAAAAAAATGGTGTAGAACAGGAGTGTCATACTTGATTTCATTGAGGGTTGCCTCAGGGTTGTGTTTGATCTTGGAGGAGCTGGGGTGGGCAGTTTGACATCACTCATGTCGGGGTGCCTGTGGTGGCCTGAGCACTCTGCTGAGCCCTGTTTTCAGTTGGGATGGCCTCCTGCAACCCTCTGTCAGTCAAAATGGAGCTTGGGACAGTTTCCTTTGTCCAGTCATTTGTGACTCTGGGGAGGCAGTGCTTACCTCTTTTTTTAGCTGAGGAAGCCAGCATTGCCCAAAGACATTTCCATGATCATGAGGCAGCATGACTATATACCAAAAGGAGCATGGAACACTGTTACCTTCCCACCGAAGTGGTACCTATTTATCTACTTGCATTTAAATGCTTTTGAACTGCTAGGTGGGCAGGGGCTGGGGCAAGTAAGGCAAGTTCTCCTCATTGCGGTGGTTGGGTCTCAAATCCAGACAGTCAGTTTTCCAGCTGACAAGGGTCTTTAATCACTGAGCCATTGCACCATCCCTCTCCAATAATAAATAGTCCACACTTTCTTGTCAAGGCAATTTCATCCCTTAAAGGTGTATTAATTCCTTCTGTAGCCAATGAACAGGTCCTATTGTTAAAGCAAAGTGGGACTTGTAGAAGGCTTTGCCTACAGCAATATGTTCCTTCTGGAAAACTAACCCTGAAGTGCTTTTGGAAAACCTGAGGACTTGGCCTTTTTCAGCAGGGCCTGGTTTTTGATCTGACACCTATATGTATTCTATACTGCTTTGTAATGGGTCATGCCATTTGCCCCAATGTGATTGGTAATCTATTTATGCTCATTTCATCTTTTCATTTGTTGCTTTAATCCTAATTATTATTAATATTTTGCCAACTACCTCGAGTTGTGATTGCACAACTACTGTAATGGACTACTGTAATGCTCTCTACATGGGGCTCCCCTTGAAAAGCACCCGGAGGCTCCAACTGGTCCAGAATGTAGCCGCGTGGGTGATTATGGGCGCAGCTCGTTGCGCCCATGTAACACCTCTCCTACGTGAGCTGCACTGGCTCCCGGTGGTCTTCCGGGTGCGATTCAAGGTGTTAATTATCACCTTTAAAGCACTCCATGGCTTAGGACCTGGGTACCTATGAGACCGTCTTTTGCCATCAATAGCCTCCCATCGACCAGTTCGTTCTCACAGGGAGGGACTACTCAGGGTACTGTCAGTCAACTTATGCCGACTGGCAACTCCCAGGGGGAGGGCCTTCTTTGTGAGGGCTCCAACCCTTTGGAATGAACTGCCCCCTGAGATACGAAATATCCCTGATCTCTGTGCTTTCCGCCGTGCCCTCAAAACCCTGATGTTGTTCCAACAAGTGGGGCTAAACATATGAACATGTGAATGTTTTTAAAATGTTATCTAATTTCAGGTTCTATTTAATTGGGCCAAACTATGTTATAATAATAATTTTAATTAGCAATTTTATGATGTTTGTGTATCTATATTTTTCTTGACTGTACACCGCCTTGAGTCCTACGGGAGAAAGGCGGTATAGAAATATAATAAATAAATAAATAAACAAACAAACAAACAAACTGAGGCAGACTAGAAGTTTGATTAAATAAATAAAAAGAATTAGGGAAATAAACGTACTATTTCCAAATAGCTTGTTCAGGTCTTTAGCCTGCACAAGGTGAAAAGGATACCTAACCATATGGCTAAGCTACAGTCATTTCTAAGGTGAGCTCAGAATGGGATGGATGAATGAATAAGCTAAACAATCTAGAAAAAGAATTCCTTTCATAGCTGAAAAAGGTCCAATGGAGCAGCACTACAGAATAAAATATTAAAAAATCTGGAATTTTTGTGTTTGATCATATTGTGTACAAGTCTTCTGTCATGAATTATAATCAGCCTTCCTGTCATATCATCACCTTCGGCTCCCCAGAATACTAGAACTCCATGCTTATATAATTGGAACAAGAATACTTGGAATCAGCCATATTTCCAATGCAGATTTTCCCATATGACAAAGAAGTTCCTTTCTCTTTCTCTTTTTTATTTTGCTTATTCTTCTGACTTGCTGCCTTTTACAGATACACAATATTATATAGTACATATTTATATGCTATTTTCTTTTCAATAGAGAGACTGTTATCATAAATTATTTAGCTGGACTGCCTTTAATCTGTGTAGTCCTTTTAATTGCATTAATAATTTTGCTATTGAAGTCTTCAAATGTACATTTCTGTACAGGCTTTCTTGAATGCCTCCTCTTCCAGAAATCAAAAGACACGATCTAAATGCTCCAATATAATACTAATAATCTAAATGCTCCAGTATGAATGTTTCATATTAAAAATCCTGTGCCCTGAATTGTTCTTTCTTCATATCATCAGAAGAATTTAGAGGAGTCACGATTGTGGAGCTAATCAAAAAGGAAGGAAGCACCCTCGGATTAACTATAGCTGGTGGCACTGATAAAGATGGGAAACCAAGAGTCTCTAATCTAAGGCCAGGAGGACTGGCAGCAAGGTAAGATAATTACAGATGCAGAGTTTCTCAGTTGCAATGTTGGAGAATGAAATGTACAGCAAGAATAAACTAGCGAATCAGATAGTCAACACAACACGTCAAATGGCAAACATCAAGTTTAAATAGTATTTTTTATAAAGATTCTCAGTCATCCAGGTCATGGTTGTCCCAAAGGTGCTTTTTCAGGAGGCAACCGGACCTTCCTGTTCCTTCCCTGATGATGCTTTGCTTCTCATCCAAGAAGCTTCTTCGGCTCTTGAGAGGATAGTGGGGAATGGAAGGATCCATATTCCTTGTAGACAGCTGGCAATAATAGGATGCAAATTACCAGCTGTCTGCAAGGAATACAAATCCCTCTGGGAAGACATATTTCACTTAATTTCTTGGTAGGTATGTAGTGTTCAGGTGGCATTGCATCTTGAGCTTCTTGTTAGGATTCCAGCTTGGAATGACTTATCCCTTCTACCCTCCCAGCTAAAACAGATTCTGCAGAATCTGTCTTAGCTGAACATCATAAAACCTTTTATTTTCTCTGTTGCCATGTATGTTTGTTTTTAAAAAAACGATGGACACCTCAGGTATTAAGTAAGATTTGGTTTTTGCTCTGCATGTTATTTACTGTACAGATCTTTCTATTTAGCTAGTCAGTAAAGATATAACCAGAGTTGATCCAAGACGTTTTGTTGACTGGAAAGGACAACAATGTACCTAGGACCTGCTTATGGGGTTTATACAATTCAATTAAAAAAAAAAAAAACAGCCAGGGAATTTAAAGCAAAAATAATAAAACTGTCTCTCTGCTTCTGTTATCTGAGACAATTGCCTCAAGACTATAATGTCTGGCCCTGGAAAGAACTGAGATATTTTGTTTTGTATGTTACAGGAGCGATCAGCTAAATGTTGGCGATTACATCAAGTCAGTGAACGGGATTAACTTGACAAAATTGCGACATGATGAAATTATAAGTCTGTTGAAGAATGTGGGAGAAAGGGTAATATTAGAAGTAGAATATGAGCTACCACTAGCTGGTTAGTATATCCTTAATAAAACTTTATGGTTCAGTGTTTTAAGATTAGGGAACCTCCCTATCCTTTCCACCTCTTGCCTTTTGTGAAGAAACATACAAACATATGAAAGTAACTTTACCATGAGACCAGTAATCCTACTTCAGTTGGTAGTAGTTTCTCCAGCCATTCAAGATGTTCCAGCCTTGGCATCTGAAATTCTTTTACTTGAAGTGACATTTTGCCAATGATTTCTTACCCAGAGTGATTACAGTGGATTCTGCTTTTATCCGTCTGTTAATTATGGGATGTTGTTGCTCATAAATATTTAACAGTGCTAAAGATTTCACAAACATCAGTGAGTATATAAAAGAGATACTAGAAGCATCAATAAATACAGAAAGCAGACCACACATTAGATTTTGTTTCGTGATTGTAACAATAGCACTAGCACTTAGACTTATATACTGCTTCACCATGCTTTACAGCCCTCTCTAAGTGGTTTACAGAGTCAGCATATTGCCCCCAACAGTCTGGGTCCTTATCATTCAAAAAATGATCTTTAAATTTATGCTATTGTTTCTGGTTTGTTTACTCACAAAATAAACTCGTCTCTACAGCCAAAGGCCTCCTGTCTGCTCATAAAACCCTGACCGTTCTCTTTTGATTCACAAACTTGAATCCATTTATGGATTCAGCTTGGACATCAAACAAAACTGTAATGTGACAAATAACATATTATGACATGACCATTAGTGGATTACAATTGACTTCATAAAATCACTGGAAGATTGTTCTGAGTTGCAAGGGACAGAGGTTGGCAATGAGTAAGGCTAGAGAAGAAAAATTATTGCAATGTTAGAAATGATTATGATTTTAAATAATATGCTAGAAGTAAGAGTTGCTGCTTAATTTTGGTCAATATACAATGGCTGTTTTTACTCGATTAAATATTTTTATTGCTGGTTTCAAATATTAAAGAGTACATTTAATTTCGGCTAGTGGGTTGTAAATGTTATTAACATTACATAGCATTAGAAGCAGGCTTTGCTTCTGTCCAGTTACACAGCAACTGTTTGTGACAATGGGAAGATTTTTGACCCAGAAGGAGGATTCTCAGGTAGAAAATGCAAACTCTACTGCACCACCTAGTTTGAAGAGCTCATTTCTGGATCTAACTCAAATAATAATACTAGACTGATCTGTCAATGAAAGAAATCTTTGTTGACTATCAGTGTGGCAGTTAATTATTTTGGATTTTAATTTTGAAGTAAAATAATAGACTTTCCTTGATTTTAGAGGCACAGGAATCTTCTAGCATCTTAGAAGATTCTCTTCTGGACAGTCTTTCTTTATTTGCAACTCCAAGAATTCCCTGATAGCAAGGCAAATGAATGGCTGATCAGGATTATTGAATGTTCTACTCTTCATATATCTGGAGGGCATCAGGTTGAGAGCTCAAATGTATGAAAACTGGGGAGATAGCATTTCTAAAATGGTGGCTTGCGGCTGCCATTTAAATATAATTTCTTCCTCTTTCTCATTTCACCAATCTACTTAATTGGTGAATTTTTAAAAACACTATTAATTCTTCCACCAACTTATTTGATTCCTATTGTGCATATATTTCACACGCTATTATGAGAAGGAGGCAAGCATTTTGTCTGGGAAGTCATAACACAGAATGTGTGATAGGTTGCCATTTACTCATAACAGATGCAGTCTTTGTTTTTGCATTGCTTTATAAGTGTTTAAAATTAAATGAAGTACTGAATTAAATATGGACTAAGACACATTTCCTTCAGCACAGTTTTACACTTAATCATTTTCTCCACTTAATGATCCCAATCAACAACTGTCCTCTTAGCCATGAGGATTTGAATGTATTCATTCAATGTTGCCAGCTGGCTTATTATTAAGGTATTTGAGAATCCAATAAACATCTGTGGAAAAAACTGTTAACTCTAGGAATCCTACTGGGCTTTGAAGCTTGTAAAAGAAAAGGCTCTGGTTTGTTAATATATTAAAACAAGCTCAGGATATATGTATGTATATGTGTATTATTAAGATTGATCAGAGGCAATTTGCAAGACAAATTATGACAAGCATTATAGGCAATGGTCCAGTTTATGAAACCAAGAAAGCTTATGTGGATGACTTTTTTGTGTTTTGAGATCATCTGCAGAACTTATAAATATGCAGATTTTATAGAAGGAGAGTTCAGCAAGTGGAAAGCATTAGCTCATCCTTTTATTTCCCTTGTCTGCAGCCCCTGATAATAGTGCTGGCATCATTCCAAAAACCATTGAAGTTACCCTCTATAAAGAAGGCAATAGTTTTGGATTTGTACTACGAGGTCAGTGCACTTGTAATTAGCAACATGCTGGGCCATTTGGAAACAGGGGAAAAGGAGGAAGTGGGGTGTCCAATGCCATTCTAAGGTGGCTTTCTGAAGGGCATCTTCGGGGAGATGGAAAAGTAATCTTCAGAGACTGACAGATGGGATACTACCAGGTTTCTCCATATGTCCCAGAAAATAACTGCTAGCCACTTGCTGATTTAATAATGTGTTCTCTTTTTACAGATTTGTTGGATATGTGTCTGTATCAGTTATGAATTATTTTTGCAAATTGCTTGCAGGAGGAGCCCACGAAGACTGGCATAAATCCAGGCCATTAGTACTGACTTATGTTAGACCAGGTGGCCCAGCAGACAGGTAATGTTCACATAATTCGACATTTAGCAGTGAAGCTTAAACAAATACATATTTTTTGTACCACCTATAAAAAAATTCCCAATAACTTTGCATCTCTACCTTTGGTCTTGTCCATGGCTTCTTCAACACAGATTTCCTTTGAGTTCTACTGCTCTAGTTCTGGGTAGCCAGAAAAGGTGAACTATGGAAAATACATTTGAAAAAATTAATCAGTGGTGGGTCATTTAAAACCAATTGCAGGTTCAGCGGCGTAGTAGTGATGGACTGAAGGGGGCGGGAATATGTTATTAAAATGTCACTATGAAAATCATGGGCCATCAAGTTGTTTTCGACTCATAGACACCACATAGATTGATTTTCTCCATGCAGTACAGAAATACTAGAATATTAATGAAAAAAGTAACACCAGAAAACAGATGTGGAAGTAATAACATTTGAAAGATAATTAACTAAAAGAACGAGTAAAAAAAAATACATAAGCCCTATTTTTTTTTTCACCATCCTTTTTGTGTCAAGCAAATAACAGATCAGAGAAACCTACACAAGTGCACGGGGTTTATCAGACTGTGATTCTTTAAAATGAGAACCTTTATTAATAAAAATAAATAACAAATCACCCAATTACAAAGCTCCTGGTGATCAGATATGGCTTAGACCAGTGTATCTCAACTTCTCAGCAGGGCTGACAGGGGAATTCTGGGCATTGAAGTCCACCCTTGCTATGGTTGAGAAACACTGGCTTAGACAGTAACTAGATTTACAGGCCTACCCTACCTGTGAAAATTTGCTCCATGTTTGTTCCCTGGTTGCATAGATGAGTTTACCACAGGTTCATTCAAGCAAAGCAGGAACAAGTTTTAACAGTTTCCCTGCTTTATAGGTCAGTCTTATACAATCAACGTTAGAATTATCTCAAAACTCACTGTGAGCTTCCCCCGACAAAGCAGGAACACTACCCAGATTTGTTCTGTCCCTTATCAAAAGTTGCATCCCACACTTGGAAAGCTCCTGGACCCACTACATACACATCTTGGAGCAGATGTAGAAACTTTGAAAGCATTGTTAGTAAATAAAGCTTCCAAATAAGCATTCATCTCAGGACTATTCTGACTCTGTCAGATATGTGTCCCTAATGGATGCCTTTATCATTTTATGCAGAGAAGGGTCTTTGAAAATTGGGGACCGGCTATTGAGTGTGGATGGGATTCCTCTTCACGGCGTGAGTCATGCTGATGCACTAAACATTCTGCGTCAGTGCAACCAGGAGGCCCTGTTCCAGATTGAGTATGACGTCTCCATAATGGGTAAGGGCTGTTGGGTTTGATTTCATTCTGGGGAATTGTATATAAGATTTTGTTATTTAATAATGTGTGCCCTTGCTTTTAAAGCTGATTACACTGTTGTCCTATGAACTGTAGATGCTGTTGGAAGGTAAATATCCTCAATTAAAGACACATAGAAGGAAAAAAAACCATGACATTTTAGTAATATGGAGTCCATGTCCAATCCACAAGACAGAGTCCAGGCACAAGACAAGGGCAATCCTCAGGACAAGGAACAGGCCCCAGACAAGAAGCAGTTCTAAAGGCACAGTGAAGCAAAGGCCAAATGCAGGCTACAAGAGAAGGGCTAGGTCCAAAGCCAAATGTGAAGAGCACTCTTCCAAGCAAGGCAAGGCAAACGGCAACAGACCCGAGTCAAAGCCAGGGGAGTATAAACCAAAGCAAACAATTGTTCCTGGCAAAGACTAACTCCCCATGGCTTCTCCTTAAGTTACTACCCTCCAGGTGTTCCTTGTGAGGAGGGATGGGATGGCCTCCTCCCTAGTAGCCTTTCAGCCCTTCTCTGGGCTTGCCTACACTCCACTCTCATTGCCCTTGGATTGAGTGGAGGAGGCAGCTGTTCCTCATCAAAGGAGATTGGTTGCCTTATCAGCACCACTGCCAATCAGCAGCTGATCCTCCCCTTTGTCTGTGTAGGCCGGCAGCTCAGTAGCTAGTCAACCACTTCCCCCAATGTCTGAGGGGCCCCTGATGTGCCTTCCTTGTCAGACGGTCCCAATTCCAACTCCTCCTCCAAACTGGGCTCTGACAGACAGATGATAGATAGATAGATAGATAGATAGATAGATAGATAGATAGATAGATTAGATAGATGGATAATGGATGGATGGATGGATGGATGGATGGATGGATGATAGGCAAGCAGGCAGAGAGACAGGCAGGCAGATATCAGTGGAATTGATTTTGCCATCATCTATCATATACAGTATATATGGTAGAATCTGGAACAAGTTAAAAACCTCCGGAGCTACCAGGACTTTGTTTCAATGAATAATTGGATGCATGAGTTTGGATGGGATGTTTTAAAAGTAAAGCCTCCTTCAAATAAAACTGAAGCCTTCATGGCTCCATAGATGCACTTTCCAGGCAGCAGTACAGAACTAGGGGAAATGCTTTAAATCCTCCTAATCTGTCCAAGTGCTCTGGCAGAATACAATATCTGATAAAACATTCAGTGAGATTTGAGAGTCTTGTGTCTGGTTCTGTGCATCTTTTCATGAGATAAGGCAAGTCTGAGAAATGCAAACATGGATGGCTAAGAATTGAGCTAGTCCCCATTCTGTGCATGCAGTCTCCAGAGAAAGTGAGAGTTTGGCACACATGTTCTCTTTGCTGCTGCTTTCTGAAGAGAGGATAAATTGTTTATTGCCCCCAAATGGAAAAGAAGTTTCTGCTTAGTTTTGTGTTACAGGTAATCTTTGATTTACAACCATTCATTCAGTACCTTTTTGAAGTTACAACAGCACTGAAAAAAGTGACTTGTCACTGGTCCTCACTCTTATGACCATCACAGCATCCCCATGGTCACGTGATCAAAATTTGGGCACGTGGCAACTGGCATGTATTTATGGTGTTTGCAGCATTCCAGAGTCATGGGATCCACTATTTGTGGATGTCTCAGACAGCGTCCAACAAGAACAATGGGGCAAGCCAGATTCACTTATTGACTGCATAGTTCACTTAACAAATGTGGCAAAAAAGCCATAAAACTAGGGGTGACTCACCTTGCTTAGCAATAGAAACTCTGGGGCCAATTGTGATCGTAAGCCAAGGACTAGCTGTATAAGCAGGGGTGGGATTCAGCCGGTTTGGACTGATTCGGGTGTACCGGTAGCTCCGATGATCAGGTGGGCCTGCCCACCCGCTCCTGCGTGCTTTACTTATCTTTATCCTCTCAGCTGATTCGTGCGGCATAGTGAATTCCCGCCCCTCAGCTGTGATACTGCCCAGAACTAACGTGGAAGTTTAGTTTTGTTAAAACTGCACATGTGCGCCCAGCAAAACATGTGATCACCAAACCGGTTGTTAAACTGGTAGGATCCCACCACTGTGTATAAGCCACTGTTGATAGGAGATTAAGGCCCAACCCCAAATATTTCAAAACACGAAAGCTATTTGAGCCTTGAAGCAAATTCAAGCAGTTATTACTGAAAATGTTGAACCAAAATAAGAGGTGATAAATGTAGGGTTACCGCTGAGTCCAAAATGGCTGTAGATCAGTGAATTGAACAGAAAGCAGTGTCTTGCATAGAGGAGGAAACAACCCACCAGAGTGTCTATTCTTAAAGTCCATTTTTCTCTTTGCAGACAAATCACGTGAGCCGCATTGCCGTGCTTAAGGTTGAGCCACAGGAGAAAATGACTAATGATGCCCAATTATGGTTCCCATTTAACACTAAATTAATAAATCAAATGGGCCTGAAAACATTTCTAGTGATCAGGGATAATAGAGCTTTTCTTACAAATGGAAGGTGCTTAAAACATGGAAATGTTTCTCTCTAGCTATAAAGTTGGAAAAACTCTAATTTTTGCCATAGAAGCTTTCAATTTGTGAACATTTCTAACCACCAACTGTGTTAAGGTGGGCGAAAAAGGGGGAAAAAACCACCTTTACAGAGATGTTATATTAACCTATTATCTAAGCAAAAAAGGAAAACCAAATTGTACAGTTGGTATGCAGCAGCTTTAAAATTATTTCCACTTGGGGTAGGGAGTAAGACATGGAATCAGTACTCTCGTTTTTTTCTCTGAGGAAAAATTCTTTTCTGAGCTTGCATTTACAGTATTTCAGAAAGAAGAGAGCCCCTTTACGGATGCCAGGAAGACGATCCTGCCAGTCAGATAAAGAAGGTTTTCCTTATGAAGTGTAGTGGGGGGGGGAGACTAAATTGCATTTTTGTGCTCACTTGCATTCCTTCAAAGGAGTCATAAACCCTTCCAGTTGATAGTTCACATTTCAAACAAATGCACGTTTTCCCTTACATTTTTGTAATAAAAAAAGATTACAGCATTTCTGCTGAAATTTTACCCTGGGCTGTTGTTGTTTTGCGCATCATATCAACTTAATTGTCCTTAATTTTCAGTTTCTTCAATAGGATGTCATCTTGAACAGCCAAAAGGGGGGAGGGGAAGGTGAACGTAGCTCACATTAAAGCAGGTGAGCGTTCCCCTCAGAAATGTGTACAAATCACCAAAGTAAATGTGAAATAATCTAGTCTGACTGTTGAGAACCTGGATTTCCACTTTCAAAATGTATGTTGTCTTGGTTTGGAATCTAGAACTAGGTGCTCATGTATTATAATACTAGTATAATCCAGTTTGCTTTCTACTTTATATCATTGCTTTTACTCAGCTGAAACTAATTGGCAACAGTTCTGGAGTTGAAGAAATAAAGAATGCTACAGAATGGAAAGCAGAAAGCAACGACCAAAACGAGCATAGAAATAGGTTTGGAAAGATACCAGCCTAATTCGTATTTGGTATATAGAGTTACTTGATAATGAACTTGCTTACTAAAGGAAAGCACATCAGAGAATGTTTTCTTTGTTTTCTGCCTTGTAGACACAGATGGTTCTTCAGTTTGCTGGTTGTGTTTTGTGTTTCGGCCAACATGGATTACTTTACTGTGATACTTTTTTTAAAAAAAAATCTTCTGGATGGAGTCATGGTTATTCTTGTGTTTCTAAGTTTTGAGTTGGAGTACAACAATAGGAGTTTTTCTGGGACACAGCTATGTGCTATGAAATGTTGAACATGAAGGAAGTCCTGTTAGAAATCCTGATGTATAAGCTTAATGGAGAATTCAGTGTGTGTGTGCGTGTGTGTGTGTGTGTGTGTGTGTAATTTGAAGAACTAGTGCTGTGAAGCTTGACAAGTTATCTGGCTATGCTTTGTGAAGCAGAATTACAGTAGGTTTATGATCTTCAGATCTAAAATTAGATTCTTATCTCATCCTTCTTCCAGTTTTATTTTCATTTGACTTTTTGCAATATCTTTATGGGTGAATACTTTCAACTTCTCTAGGTGCACCCTTCACCAGACACAAATTAAGAACTTAGTATCAAGCTAGCCTCAAATCTATATCTTAAAAGAATAAAAAAAATTCTAGCTCAAGTATGAAGGTTAGAGCTGAACCAGATATCTTTGATTTATGACAGATATGTGTTTGAACTAAGTGATTTTCCTGTATATGGGCAGGGAAATGTATATATCAGGATTTTGAAGGCTTGGAATCTGGTAGTTTCTAAAAAATCTGCAAAGAATGTGCTAGTGGTAAGATAATAAATTTCATTTATCTACCTTTCAGACATTTACCTTGGAAAATATTTCTTTCTAACTTTATTTCATTTCACTTTTAAAATAAAAAGTGTTCAGGGTATTTTAATTTACTGTTCTCAGATAATTTCTGCTCTACATTTGTATCTATTCTAAATTATAGGATGTGCCTGACTAGTCCTTTCATGGTTTTATATAATATAATTTTGTTTGAATACCTTATTGTTGTTTGTGTTAAGGTATATTATGCAAATAGCAGATATATGTTTATTTTATTTATTAAATAGATTTACATGGCCACCCAAATTACACATGGTAACAAGAGGATTTATGTCATCTTGTGTAGATGCATCAAATTTTAATGACATAAACTGTCATACAACTGTTTTCCCAAACCATATGTTTATTTTTATTTTATTTTTTATTTTATTTCAAATTTATATACCGCACCGTCTCCCAAGGGACTCAGGGCGGTGTACAGCCAGATAAAAACATACAATACAAATATTAAAAACAATTAAAAGAATATATACTAATTTGGCCGCAGTTTAAAATGACAAACCAATTAAAAATTAAAAATATTTAAAAATATGTTAAGCCAGCCCTGCTTGCTGAAAAAAGAAAGTTTTAAGGGCATGGCAGAAGGCACCGAGGTCTTGGATTCTCCTTATCTCTGGGGGCAGCTG